TTTGAACTGATGACAGGACACCAGAGCCAAAAGGAGGCCAATCTAGTGCCCTGCACCTCCCCGATCAGAGATGTTCAAGCAGCGAGTGACGCCATCCCAGGCGGCCGTCTTTAAGAAAGACGCCCAGGCTGGAGGTTCAGGTTGGGTAGAAAATGGGCCCCTGCCCCCCGAAGGGTGGCCCATCTGCAAGGCCTTGTTTGTGGCTCGCAGGGCTGCGGGGAACAGCTTCTCACGCCACCCCCAAAGGCACCGAACTGCAGGAGGAGGGGGGCTTCGGCCCTCAGCCACGCTCCCGACTTGCTTTGACGGTTTTGGAGACAGACTCTTGCTCTTTCTAATGTGCGGGCCTGGCCACTGTAGGTTAACCCCTGCCCCTCGCCTCCAGACATCTGGCAGCCACTTCAGGGCCCGTCGCCGGGTGCTGCACAGAGAGTGAGGGACTCTTGCCCCAAAGAGCTGACAATCAGAACCGAAGTGGGAGAGGAAGCCACGGGCAGCGCTGGGACTAGCCCCAGGTTCCCAGCGTCCCTTCGCCCCTAGAGAACTGGTCCCACCCCACTGGGCTCCCACCACCTGCCCACATCCAATGGTTCCCGTAGCAAGACCCTGCTCCTGGAGGGGTGGGTTTTGCTGGCTGGGGAGCACTAATTGCTCGCTGGCCCCCCGCCGGGTCGACGGGAGCTGCCGAATGCTGGTGAGAATGAGCCACCCCGGGGCTGACCCCCCCACTCTTGTTGGGCAGGTCTGTGCTGTGCCCTCACGCAGCCGGCTGGCCGAGGGGCCGGAGCGTCTCTTTTCAGTGGTGGCCCAAGGGGTAACCGGAGCCTCCGCTCCCCTGGAGGTGTGAAGCCCTCGGCCGCCTTCTCTCCCATTGGACGAGCCTTCTCCCCAGCTCCCCCGCAGCCTCCGGAGGAGGGGACCACAATCTCCGGGTGTGTCTTTTCCTCTCCCCACCCTGCAGCCGGCCCGGGAGGCTGAGCGGATCGGACTGACCCGGCGACCCAGCCCTCGGGGGAAGAGACGGCGCGCAGGCCGAGCGGGGTCTGAGCATGATGTCCTACATCAAGCAGCCTCATTACGCAGTCAACGGGCTGACCCTCGCGGGCCCAGGCATGGACCTCCTCCACTCCGCCGTGGGGTACCCAAGTAAGTGCCTGGCCGGGGTCCTGCCGCCCGAGGGCCAGGGAGGAGGGAGCAGGGGGTGGGTCGGGCCCGCCAGAGAGCAAGCAGGGGAAATCGGCCGGGAGTCCTGCAAGAGAAAGCCCTGCCGGTGGCACATCCCGTCCGCTTGCTGGGGGAGAGGGAGTGAAAGTAACTGGAGCCAGGGGACGAGCTTGGTTCTGATACCCAGAGCCAACAGCATCTCTTCCCAGTCAGCTCACAGGCGGCCGGCAGTCCACACCTGCAAGAGACTCACAGCAGAGCCCGGG